AGATGTCCAATGGCCACTCTGAACTCTCACCCTGCGGAGGAGATTATTTACCCAGCCTGGGCTGGGGATCCACCCCCGGCCGAGGGGTGGGGTCGCCTTGTACCAAGGTGGCTGTTTCTACTGTGACCTCGTGCATGAACTGGTTCCAGACCACAGGAGGGACAGGAGAATATGTGCCCTTCTACAGTTATGCCCTGGTGACACGTCATAGGATTGAGGAAAGGCCATTTTAGTCTCAGGGATAAAAATACAAATCTACCGACCAGAGGTTCTGGGCGTACTTATTTACGTTCTACCCCCACCCTGAATTCTGCTCCCCACAAGGGGCTGAGTGGGTGTGAAGATTCCAGCAGCCTGAAGGTACACAGGGAGCGCACTGGGCTCAGGAGATGCCCAAACGTGTTCCCTTTTGAGTCGTCTGGGTCCAGGAGAGGACCAAGGAGAGAAGCCCAGTTCCCCTTGCTAAAGGAAAAAGCACAACTTACAGACCGGTGTACTATGACTGAACTGCCCTTTGGAACTGCAGATAATGCAAAGAGTGAATCTACCTTTTTCCACATCCTAGCAAGACTGGCAGCAGAACTGTCCTCCAGCCTGAGAATCACAGCTGGATAAAGGTGGTCAGTGATCATCAGCTCATGCTGACAGTGGAGGCCCAGGTGTAGGGCGATTAAAGAAACCTCATGTGCTAGGCCCAGCTCTGAAAACGGGTCTTCTTCACTGAGAAGCTACACTAAGCCGCCCATCCTAAAAACTTCTGCGTTTTGAAATTTCTCTCTTCCACACCTGTGTTGTGTCAACTTCTGCTGAGTCGTCCTGTAGTGATGACTCCCAGATCTTGCAGTTACCTCAACAAAGGTTCATTTGTCACTCATGGCTCACAGATCAGGTGCGGTCTGCTCCACCTGGGGCTGCGGGTACAGGAGCACCCCAGTCTGGGACACGCTGCTTTGGAACCCAGAGAAAAGGAGCAACGACACAGCTGGGCCAGACACCTCATGTTCCTTCTTGGAGGTGACAGATGTCATTTCCACCCACAATCCATTGGCCAAAGAAAGTCACCTGGTGAAGCCTGACCTCAATAGGGCGTAGAGACAGCCCTTCCTCGGGAAGGGACATCAAGGACAGGCCTGTGTAGAAGGTGAACCGGGTATTTAAACAATATAGTCTACTGCTTACACAACTTTTTTCGAAGATTAAAAATTTATTTCCAAGCAATCACAGGAAACCATTGGCTGTTTTGGTGTATTATGATAAAAACAGAACTCCACTTAAAATCTACATTGCTACGCAAATTGCATATGCTCCTAAACATTCTTTTTGGTGCTTCCTGAGCCAATGGGCACCACTTAGCACACTGGTAGGACTAAGGATATTTCTTGTCTATTATGGTCAGGAAAAAGCGAATAACTTTCCAAATGAACTGTAAGTAAATATAATGAGGCAAATGTCCTACATTTGTGGAGTGCTGGAGAGGCTGGGAAGGTTTTCTTTTGTGAAGTCCTGTGGATGATTGCAGCAAAAGCAATGGAGAATGGGGAGGGGGAATGGAGGAGGGGCCGGCATCTCTGTGCCAGGATTTGTGGGCCAGAGACCTGGGATCTAGGAAGGTTTGGTGATGGCACAAGCTCATCCCAGTTAAAGTGTCAGAGGCAGAATTAACATTTGCACTGTTTCTCTGGCTCCAGAGCATATACTTTTTTCTTGTGCCCCAGGATGGCTCCCCAAAGGAGAGGGACAAAGAGAGGGAAAAATAAGGAGTGAGCTGGGGGTGGGGGGGGGGGAAAGTTGAGAGGGCGAAGCAGCACGGAGAGGTAGAGGAGGTAAGAGAAAGGAGATAATGGGAGAGAAAAGAGGGAAGAACGAGAAGATCAACAAAGAAAGAACAGTAACACTGAACGAGAAGAACAGCGTTGGAGGGCTGACACTCCCTGACTTCGGACTTAACTGTGAAACTATGGTAATGAAGTGTGGCATTAGTGAGAGAACAGACAAACCGCACACTAGTGAGAAAGGACAAACCACAGACTCGGGGGGACATGTCTGAAAAATACATATCTCATAGAGGAATGTTATCCAACATATATGAAGTCTTAAATTCAATAATATGAAATGATCAGATTTTAAAATGGTCCAAACAATTTGGTATATGAAATGGTGCTTAACAAGTACATGAAAAAGGTACCTGAAAAGGTTCTCAACATCACTAATCGTTGGGGAAACGCAAATCAAAACCACAGTGAGATATCACCTCACATCAGTGAGAATGGTTATTATCAAAAAAGATAAGTGATAACAATTGTTGGTGAGGGTGCACAGAAAAGGGAATCTTTGTGCACTGTTGGTGGAAATGTAAATTAGTATAACTACTATGGAAAACGGTATGGCGGGACCTCGAAAAATTAAAAATGAAACTACCATATGATCCAGTGACCCCACTGCTGGGTATGTATCTGAAGGAAACAAAATTACTGTCTCGAAGAGACATCTGCACCCCCGTGTTCACTGGTTACTCACAGGAGCCCAGATATGGGAACAGCCCAGGCTCCACCAACAAATGAACGGATGGAGAAACTGTGGTGTGTCACACACACACACACACACACACACACACACACACACAGATATTATTCACCCATAAGAAAGGAGATCCTGCCATTTGGACCACATGGATGATCTTGCGGGCATTACAGTAAGTGAAGTAAGTCAGGCAGAGAAAGATAAATACTGTATGGTCTCACATACAGTGGAATCTACAAAAAACAAACGACAAATAAACCCACAGAAACAGAGAACAGATTTGTGGCTGCCAGAGGCAGAGGGTGATGGGTGGGGGACATGAGTGTAGATGGGCCAAGGGCACAAACCTCCCGTTGTAAGATCTGGGGATGTGAGGTGTAGAATGTGATTGTAGTTAACGATACTGTATTGGGTGTTTGAAATTTGCTGAGTGTAGATTTTAAAAGTTCTCAACACAAGGAAAAAACTAACTATGTGAGGTGATGGGTGTTAACTAAATTTCTCGTGGTAATCATTTTGCAATATCTACATATATCAAATCATTATGGTGTACACCTTCAACTAATATAATGTTATATGCCAATTGTATCTCAATACCACTGGGAAAAAATGCTCCACAGCATATGTCATTAAGGAATTGTAAATTAAAACAGCAGTTTTGGCCAAAATCCGAAACCCTGAGCACCAAATGCTGGGGAGGCCGAGGAGCAAAAGCAGCTCTCACTCATTGCTGGTGGGCATGCAGTACGGTAAGGCCGCTCTGGGACACAGTTCAGCAGTTTCGCACAAAGCTAAACACACTCTCACCACATGACCCAGCAATTGTGCTCCTTGATATCTACCCAAAGGGGGCAAAAACTTATGTGCACACACAAGCCTGCACGTGGATGTTTACAGCAGCTTTATTCGTAATTGCCAAAACTAGGAAGCAAACCAACATGTTCTTTAGTAGGTAAGTAGATAAACCGTGGTACATTCGCACAATGGAATGTTATTGAGCACGAAAAATAAATGAACTACCAAGCAATGAAAAGACATGGAGGAAGCTTAAATGCATACTAAGTTAAAGAAACCAATCTGAAAAGGCTGCGTATTGTGTGATTCCAACTATATGGCATTCTGGGAAAGGGCCAAACTATGCAAAGAGGAAACAGAGCCGTGGTTGCCACCGGCCGTGGAGGAGGGATGCACAGAGGATTTTTAGGGCAGTGAAGCTGCAGTGCATGATAACATAATGGTGGATACGCATCACTATATACTTGTCCAGACTCATAAAAAGTACAACACCCAGAGTGAGCCCTAATGGAAGCTGGTCTAGGGTGGAAAGGATGAGTCAGCTCAGGTTCATCAGCTGTAACAAATGGGTGAGTCTGGTGGGGGATGTTGATAATGGGAGAGGCTGCGCAAGTGTGGGAGCAGGGAGTATAAGGTAAATCCCAGTACCTTCTCCCCGACTTTGTTGTGAACGTAAAATAGCTTCAAAAAAATACCAGCATAAAAAAAAAGTAAATTGCGCAAAGAAAAAAAAATTGACCTTCCCTGCAGATCTTCAAAATTCACTTCAAGTCACCTTTGAGGCCCAGGCCCAGCCTTCCATGGGAAGGTTGAGGAAATCAGAATGAGGCCTGGCACGCCCCCTGCGGGATGGAAGAGGCGCTGCTTCGGGACTGGCCTGAGCATCCCGCAGGTGGCGGCCAGAGGAAATCACCACGGAAGCTCGCAAAACACCCGTGCTGCGCCCCAGCGCACACCAGCTGGGACTTGCGCGTGGCTGAGTCCCAGGACGAAACGCATTCTCGTTCATTCATTCAGACGTGCAGCGGGGACTGAGGACCTCCGTGAGAGAGCGGTGGCACAGTGGGGTGAGGGGACTGGGGGTCAGGGTCTAAGCAAAAAAGGAAAAGAGAAAGCTGCTCCCCACGTGATCACACTTTTGGGTGCCCACTGAAGCCGCGCACTTTCCAAGGGCCTGCGGCGTGGGTGTCACACTGTCAGCAGCTTTCACGTCAAGAATTGGCGTGCCCAGGATAGATGCGCTAGCCATCTGCCCCGGGAGGAGGGGGACTAGGGCCTGGGGTCTGCAGCAGTTGTAGAGGCATGGTAAGGGACCCCCCCTCCCCCAAACACATTTTACAATCCAGGAGCCGGGCCAAGTGCTGGCAACGCGTTTGCGCTCTAGTTAAAGGCTTTGTCACTTTCCCACTGTATTGTCACCAAGCAGGCGATTACACCCCTTCGAACTTCACTTTGAAGTGACGCGTGGACGAATGGGTGGGTGACCGTGTATTTTTTGGAACGTACTTTCTCCTACACCCGCTAACGGGGCACCTGTAAAACTAAAAACAAGCAAGCACACAAATATAAAAAAACAGTGCTCGCGCGAGGACGAGCACACAGATAGAAAAGTGCAACTAGTACAACAGCATAGCCAGGGCCAGGTTGGTGGCTTCCTTCTCACCAGTCGCCAGAGTCCCCAAGCCCTCTCCGCACCCGCCCGCTATTCCGCACCTCGATCTGCAGCCAGCGCTGCCCTCGGCCTCGGGAGAACTGGCTTGGGAGCCCGAATACCTTGAGGACCCACTGGGGTAAGGGCTAACCACCCCGCACCCCGCGTAACGGCGCCCCTCCCGGCCCCTCGTGGCGCACGCGTCGGCCTCGCGCCCCCCAGCGAGCGCCAGGCACCTGCCGGGAAGGCTGGGAAGGGAGGAAACCGGAAACGCGGACCTTGGGGCCTCCCTCCTCCGCCGCTGGCTCTCCTACCCTTTAAGGCCGGTCGACTCTGCATCCGGCCTCGGCCCGGAAAACGCAGCGCACACCAGGCCGGCCTGCCCCGCGAGCCGTAAGTAACGGAGGGGCCGCGCCTCCGCGCCGGTGCGCTGCGGGCCCGCTTCTGGGGCGGCCTGGGCGCCCCCTCGGCCCTCCTCCAGGCAGTTCTCAGAATTCCGGGAGTGGGTGGGCGTCCCGGTTGGCCGGGGGTCGCAAAGACTCCTGTGGGCCTCTCCTCCATCTCCCGTCTCCACCTTCGCGGGTTCCCGGAGCTCTGGGGGCCTCAGGAAGGGAGTGCGCACCTGTCGGTGCTTTAGAGGGGCGGGTAGTGGCAGGTTTGGGGGACTCTGGGGAGGCCTACTAGCCGCGGACCCCCGAGTCCGTTCAGGACCCGGGGCCGCGTGCTCCCCGTTGGTAGCCACGAGTGGCTTGCACTTCCAGTCTCGAGGAGATGGAACTGCGTCCACCGTTTACACACAGCAGGGGTCAGAAAGTAGGATCATAAACCCGGTAACAGTCTACATGCAGGTGCGGATCCATGGTTGTTACCAGTGAACGCACTGCTTAGGAGAGAGTGGAGGCAAGACCAAAACCAAAACCAAATTCCCAACAAAAATATTCCCAACTCCTGCGACTGCGGCGAGATCCAGCTGCAGTCAGCGCAGGCCTGGGCCGTTCAGAGAGCGCTGCTCTCTCCCTAGTCCTGGGCTGCACAGCTGTCTCGCTCCCCCTCAGGGCCGCCCAGAGTCCTAACAGCGAAGTGCGTTGACCATCATCTTGCAGGAGTTGTACCGTTCTGGGTGCTTTTGCCTAAAGACATACTTTGGCATGGATTCAGAGCCAAATCTCATGTCCCAGAAGACTGGGAGGGGGAACACTGTAAAAGGAATTAGGGAAAAGCTTCCCCGACCTCTTGATTATTCTTTTGAAACCTTAACCCTTTAAAAAGCATGTGGGGCCACTGAAGAGATAATGCATTTTCTGGCCAGAACACGCAGGATTCTTTTTGCCCAACAGGTTTAAGGGAGCAGAGAGCTGGCACAGTTGAAATGGCCCTGGTGCCCTATGAGGAGACCTCGGGAGTGGGGCTGCAGAAATTCCACAAGCCTCTGGCCACCTTCTCCTTTGCAAACCATACCATCAAGATCCGGCAGGACTGGAGGCAACTGGGAGTCGCAGCCGTGGTTTGGGACGCGGTAAGCAAGTCCTGGGAGGCCTCTGAAAACGTCTGCAATTGATTATAAGAGTGGTCTTTATTTTTAAAAGTAAAAGAACAACTGTATCGAGATATAATTCACACACTGTACACTTCACCTAAAGTGTACAATGAAGTGATTTTTTAAAGTGAATTCAGAGTGGTGCACCCATATTACATTTTAAAATATTTCTATCACCCCACCCACTCCATAAGAATTTCTACACATCAGAGTCACTTTCCTGCCCATGTTCCCCGAAATAGGTTGCATTTAGGGTGAGTGAAGGAAAGTTGAGGGAAATTAAAATATTGCACAAAGAATATTGTAAAATGACAAAGCCCGTAGTGACGGTCTTGTGTTTCTTTAAGTTTCCCATAGTTGTCATCAGCACAAAATGATAATGGTATTTGCTTTTTCACTTCTTCTTCTCCAGCACTGTTGACAGTGGCTGGCTCTCACGTCTGGCGCCACACCTGGGCTTCAGAGGTAGCTCTCCTGATGTTGGCTAAATGCTCGGTGTAGATACAGTTTCACAGTCTTTGCGTTGTATTAGGGAAATGAGAAAAAACCTTTAGGAATAAAAAAATGTATTCTAACCCAGGAATACTTCAAGGAGTGTAGTCTAACTCCACGAAAATGATCCTAGACCAAGTAATAAAGGTACATAATAGTGAAGAACAGGTGAGTCTCTTAAATGCCCACTGAGAAGAGGAAGTGCTAATTATATGAATAGCATGTGGCCATGGAAACAAACTATATTTTAAAATCATGTTAACAGTATACAGTGCTTCTGTAGAATAGTACACAAATGCTAACTCACACATCAAGTATCCAGAACTTTGGCTAAAATGTACCTTTTGTTGCCCGATAGTACATGGCGAGGGCTCCCGTGGGGCGATGCCCATCAGGGATGATGGGGGGTGGGGGAGGGGGAGGGTGAGGAACGCAGCTCCAGGAGCCTTGGTTGCTGCTGTGCTTTTCTCCTTGGGGGAACATTGTGGCCTTGCTGATTTGAGCTTAGTTTGGAAACTAGATGTCTCCTTAAGAAAAACGACAGAGACTGTTCCCGCCAGCTCTGCCAGAGGAGCACTGTAAGCCTCAAGTGTAAAGCAGTGACACATTAAGACATTGATCTTCCCAGGTTCAGCAGCACCCTATCTTGTATGGGCAGTGTCATGGATCTCTAGCACCCGTGCCCGTTAGAGCCTTCGGTGGGGCTTGCTGCACCTGTCCTATAGGGTGCCTTGCCTGGGCTTGCTGTGGGAACCCCCTCCCAGCAGCCCCTGAGCTGCTGTGTGTGCTGTCCAACCAGGACCCGAACCATGCGGTGGGAGGGGGGCTGTGATGTCTTCTTGCCAGTACAGAGCCTACTCAAGACCTTTCAGCCCTGACCTGGAGCAGTGCTGACCTTCCTCATAACCCCCCTGTGTTTTGACTCAGGCTGTCGTTCTTTCCACGTACCTGGAGACGGGAGCTGTGGAGCTCAGGGGCCGCTCTGCTGTGGAGCTGGGTGCCGGCACGGGGCTGGTGGGCATAGTGGCTGCCCTGCTGGGTGAGTGTGACTCGCTGGCTCACGGCTCTGTGAGTGGAGCTCATGGAGAGATGCGTTTGCTGCTTTCTCGGTGTGAAGCCCATTGTTCATTCACTCTCTGGTTCGATTGTTTTCCTTTCCCCTGTACTTATGACATGTTACGGACCAACTGCTGGTGCTCTGAAGTCCAGTAAGGCTAACTTCTCTCGCTCTTTATCTTTATACTTACACTTTTCATGGGCCTTTGCTTTTCCCCCTTCTATTTTATGCTGCTGATAATGTGATCTGAAGGTGACTTTAAGTTCAAAGAGAAGTCTCTTATTCATGTACATAGTTTTTTGCTTGTTTGTCTTCACAGTTCAGGTGCTTTCCCATACACTGTCACCTCTAACCCCGCGAGGCCAGAGAGCAGATAGCTCTCCCCTTCATTGCTCAGGAAACTGGTTTTTGCCTTTGAGGAAGGGTCGGCCCTGCATCAGTTTGTAGTGGCATCTTATATTAAAAAAATTGTAACAGTATACAGTTCAAAGCTGATGAATATCAAGGTTTGTCATTTTCTTTTTTGTTTGGCATACAGACCTTAATGTAGGCCTAGAGTATTTTTAAGTCACATTACTATCTGATGGCTCTTTACTGACTCCTCCCCACAGTCTCTGGTTCATACATCTGAGTTAGGCTCTGACGGGACAGACCAGCTTCGAAGATTCTGTGTGGAGTATTCCCACTTCAGTGCTGTCCCTGGGGGCTCTTGTTAAAAGGCAGTTTTGGGTTCTGAAGAAATGAGAGTCTGCATTTCTAACCAGGCCCCAGGTGAGGGTACGCCGACTCCCAGCTTATTTATGCCCTCTCCTAACTCCGTTCTTTCCCAGCATTCCTTTCCCTATTGACATTCCGCTTTCCGAAACCCAATGGGGAGTGTGGCAGGGGTGGTGGTTAAAAGTGTGAATGAACTGATTTAGGTTTCTGTCTGTGGACGCAGCCCTTTACCACCGGCAAGGCCCTTGCTGCTTCGCTGCCATTTGTTTTCCTTAAGTTCCCCTTATGTGTATGCTAGGCATTATTTCCCATTTTCATTCTCAAATGGAACTGGGGTGCTGGGAGATGAAGCCTCTCTGAGGTCCTGGTCATCGGAGGCCGGAGACTCAAACCAGGCCTGTCAGACACAGCAGCCCAAGGTCTCCTCTTTCCACGATGCTGACCTCCCTCTGCTGCTAAGTGAGGAGTTAACTGGGACAGGAAGTGAGGCTCCCCCCCCCTCCCCGGGAACAAGGGCGTCTGCAGAAGGCGTCTGGCTGGCGTAGTGACGTACTAGTGAGGTAATGTAGCGCATAGGGTTAGAATTATACTTGGTTCTGACACCTTTTACCTTCTACTAGCTGTGTGTCCTTGGGCAAGTTGCTTTACTTCTAAACTGCAATTTTCTGATATAAGGGGGAAGTAATCTCATTCATTCCACGCTGAGGATCAAATGCGATGCGTGTAGAAATCTGCTAGCTCACCAATGGACACAGAGTAAATGCTCAACTAGTATTGCTTGCCTCTCTGAGTGTTTCTGTTTCTGGTCCAGAAATGTGGATCTGTGCGGTTGGGAAAGTCGGGATAAGGCTCTTCAGACTGTCACAGAGCCAGGGACTGGTGAGCTGTTGCCACCGAAAGTCTTGGGAGCCTGCGGGAGCTGCTAGAGTGGCAGATAGCCTTCTCACGGTTGGGAGGTGTGTGCTCCCCGCCCAGCTCCCCTGTCACCTCGTGGAGTTCTTTCCTGCCCCAGAGCAAAAGTAATCGCTGCCTTAGTTCTTTTCCCCTCTGTGCTGGTACACTCCCCACCTCTGTCCCAGCACGGTCCCATCACCTCCTGGGCAGTTGTTATGTGTATCTGTTTCTCCCTGCTCCTGAGGAGTGGGCTCTGCACACCGGTTCCTGTTTTTACTTCACACATTTTATTGCAATGTGTTTATGTCTCTTTCCCTCATGAGGCTGAGTTCCTAGAGAGCAAGGTTTACCTCATTGCTCTCTGTATCTCTAGCACACAGTAAGTGCCTGAATAGTTGAATAAACTAAGTCATTACTTACAAAACGAAAAACCAAAAGCGAGGACAAACATTTACACATTCTTCTTCCATTACCAAAGGGGTGAGAGCAGGTTGTGTGGCCTTACTGGGTCGGTGTCCCTTAGTCTTGTATGAACCAAATATCGCTTCCCTTCCCTCTTCCTCCAGCATCATCGAGGGCAGGAATTTCATCTTCATCCTTACCACCGTGTTCACATGCCGTCAACACCCTGCCCTGCCTCGCTCCATCGTCCTCACCGGGCTGAAAACAAGGTTAAGTGCAGCTCTCCTCTCGTTCCGGGCACAGACCTGGGCAGCCAGACAGGGCGGGAGGAGACGCACTGCTGCTGGTCTCATTTTCAGTTTGTAATCCGGAGCCTCAGAGGGGTTAATGCTGCTGAGCAGTCACTCTCCTGCCTCTCCCCCCCTGCAAGCCCACAGTCCTTCTTCCTCCATCCTCACTCTTCGCTGAGGATGTTGCCTCTTCTTTCACACAGAATGTCGAGGCAGTCAGAGGACAGCTGCTGGAGCCTCCTGGCACTGCCTTTGCCCCAGCTGTGGCTGGCCCCAGCGTCTCTGCTTCTGCTCCAGAGGTTCTCTCTCTGTCGTCATGCCCCCCACTCTCCACCCGATCATCCCCATCACCACGCATGCAAACTTGCTAGTATTTCTCCCATCTATAAAAAAAAACTAAAAACTTTATTAAGTGGCTGATTCTAGGTCTGTGGCAGGACATGAGTAAGAGGACCCTGGAATATCTTGTTATACCAGATAGTAAGAAAGCTATAGAGGATGACATAGGGTTGGGTCAAAAGTCTACTGGCAAGAGACAGGACAGCATGGGCATCAATAACAATAATGGCAATGGACTTAAGGTCCATTAAAACTGTGTAACCCATGAGTTCATGATGCAACAACTACAATAGAACCTAAACCGTTGTCTTTGGAGGATGCTTAGAAACCAACTCTTCATTTTGAAATCTGTTTTATAAAAGAGAAGGGAGGAGCAACAGTTATCCTTCCTTTCTTATTAAAACAGTTCCTATACACAGTGAGTAAACAGCCATTGAAAGAAGCATTTTTAAAAAGATTTTCTTTATTTGTTTTTAGAGAGAGGGGAAGGGAAGCAGAAAGAGAGGGAGAGAAACATCAATGTGTGGTTGCCTCTCACGCACCCCATCCTGGGGACCTGGCCCACAACCCAGGCATGTGCCCTGACCTCGAATCAAACCAGCGACCCTTTGGTGTGCAGACCGGCACCCAATCCACTGAGCCTCACCAGGCAGGGGAAGAAGCTCTTCTTTATCAAAGTTTCTTAACAAACAATTCAAAAGGAATCTAATGAATTAAGGATCTGGGCTGCTCACATCACAAAAGTAGAGCCTACAAGGTACCTCTTGAGGAAGAACACACCACCACCTCTGAAATGTCTTGTTCAACAAATTCAACTCCAAAAAAATTTACAGGAGATACAAAGGACATAAGAACATACTAAACGATACAAATGGTACCATCAGCAAAATCCTGACTGTGGGAAACTGTGGAACCAATGATCTGTTTCTTCCCTACATTACACAGGAAGAAAGGAAAGTGATTAAAAGAGACTAAGTTACAGGGCACAAATGATGTCCCCTGTACTCCCCGCAAAACCGACAAAGAAAACCCCAGAACGAAGCCACATGGACGGACATTCGGGTGATCAAATTCAGTGAGCGGTGACCGAGTGGTCCCCGGGAGAGGGCTTGGCCCGCGCGTGGGTGCTGCGCTGGGGAGACGGCTTGTGGCGGGTGTCTGGGGTGGTAACAGGAAGGGGGTGCGCCGCAGGCCTCCGCCAGGGTCATCGTGTTGGCCTCCTCACTCGTCCGCTTGCTTCCTGCCCGCTTCCTGCCCGCTGCTGGGAGTTCCGTTAACACCGAAGTGAGATCGTGCACACTTGTACTCAGCCTCTCCAGTGGCTTCCCACCTCAGTCAGAAAAAGCCAAAGCCTTCTCTTGTTTTTTTTTTTTTTTTTCTTTCAATTTTACTTTGTATTGCTTTCAGGTATACAGCCTTGCGGGTAGACAATTGATACTTCATAGTATTGACCTCGCTATTTCCAGGACCCCAGCTGACACCTTGTGTAGCTATCACGTCATCGACCGTGTTCCCCGTGATGTGATGTACTTTGCAGCCCTGTGGTTGTCCGTAACTACCTATTTGTGCTTCTTCACCCCTTCACCTCTTTCACCCAAAGCCTTTTCAAATCAAGACCAAAGAGGCCTGGGTGATCTGCCCCACCTCCCGTTACTTTTGTGACCTGGTCTCCTTCTGCTTTGTTCCTCATTCGCTCATTTCAGCCCCTCCAGCCCCCTCCTTCCCTTCCCCTGTAGGCCCTTGCACTTCCTCTCCCGTCAGGCCTTCACCTCCCTCATCTGCCAGAGGCCGTCCCTTCTACCCAGTCTAAAATTTCACACCCGCCTCCCTTGCTTCCTGACGGTTCATGTCCATCTGTCCTGATTTATTTTTTTCCCTAAGGGCATCTCTCTCACACACTGGGTGTTGTTTTTAAAAACCTCCATTGTTTACCTCCTCCCTGGAAGGCAGGCTCTGCGAAGGTGGGGGTTTTGTCTGGTGGCTGGTGGTGGCCACTCACATTTTGTGCAACTGAGGGGTGGGTGTCACAGAGGAATGAATGGCCAGCTGCCGGCGAGGTCCCGTGAGGACTCCTGGAACAGCGAGCCGGCAGGAGGAGCCTCAGAAATCCCCGAGCGGGGCGGCAGGGGAGGTCCGCGCCTGCGCACTGGGGAAGTGGACCCCCGAGAGGGTACGCAGAGCACTCGATGGCTCTGCATTGAGCACAGCGCCCTGTGGACGGTCGAGGCATCCAGAGGTGAGGTTCTGAGTCAAACCCGGAGAAGGCTGCCCGTGGTGCGTGTTATCAGGAGAGAGGGACGTATCACGGGAACTCTGCTCAGCAGGCCACGCGCTGTCTAGCGAGGGATGGATGGACGAAGTGGGAGGCCTGTGCTTGTGACAGCTGACGACTCGAACATTCCCGCAGTTGCCCACTCAGGACTGTGAATGTCAGACTGAACCGCATGCCGTCCTGACCTAATGGGACAAGGCAAGATAAGAAACGTCAAGTAGGAGCTGTGTCTGAAATGCCTTCTGTAGCTGCTCTGCAAGCTTATGGGGGATTGCCTATGAACATCCCACACTGGAGACAGAGGCAAGTGAGAAATCGTTTCGTGAAGGGAGGGAGCAACAGTTGAAACTTCCGATTTGCAGGGCACAAATGAGGTAACATTATACCTATTACATTGTTATTATGATAGAGATGAAGTGTTTTCGGGGTTCATTTGAAGGGTTCAGCCTCTCTCAGATATATTGGTTCAAAACTCTGGATCTTTTGTTCACGGTGAACACCCACAAGGATGAGACTATTAAGTACTGCCTCGTTAACCTTATACACTGTGTGCCAACACATAGCATGTGGAGGCCAGGATTTCACACTTCAACCTACAGTACTGGAACGCAACCTAGGAATTTCTTTTTTTCCAAATTGGAAAAAGGGAAGGTTTCTTTAGAAAGTTACAGAGGCCATAGAAATGAGCCAGCTGGGCTTCCAGGCTCAGGAAACAAGTTACAGGAGCGAAGAAGGGCCTTGGAGCTCAGGAGAGAGAAGGAGGGTGAGGAGAGAGATGGGTGAGGCTAATGGTCTGGGCTGAGCGGGGAGGAGGGGGGAACGTGGAACGTGCAGGCGTGCTCCCAAGAGGGAGAGTGTGCCACGGTCTAGTAGTTTGTAAGTTTACCGTTTTTCAATAATTATATATATATATATACACACACATATACACATATGTGTGTATATATACATATATATGTGTGTGTGTATATATATATAGAGAGAGAGAGATTAGCTGCTTTATAGTAGTATGAGGAGAAGTGGATTAGGATTTCTTCATAGCCAATTAATCACTTCCTTGATTCCTTTTAAAGCTTTAATCCCAGAAAGCAGCCCTTCTCTGTTTTTGGTATCTTGTCATTTTCATGCTTGGATTCCATTCCACCCTGAAGCCAACTGGGCTTGAAGGCTGCGACCTAATGAATGCAGTGCAGTGGTGGACACCTTTGGAGGGTGGGCCAGCTCTGCCTGCCGAAGTGAGAAGCCTCAGGTGGTCGTCACTTGGGGGCCCTGCGTTTTATAAGGCTCACTTTTACTAGTAGGCTGTGCAGAAAGAGCTCCTGGTCATTGTTCTGATCTATTGCAGCCATCCATGAAGGGCGTGATCTGCGTGTCAGGTGGAGTCTTTAGACACACTCACCTGCCGTTGAACTTGGCCCCATTACCTGTTAGTTGTACTGATGTGCCCATTACTTTCTCTCTGTCCCACATTCCAGGTGCTCATGTGACTATCACGGATCGAAAAGTAGCACTAGAATTTCTTAAATCAAACGTTCAAGCCAACTTACCTCTCCATGTCCAACCCAGAGCTGTTGTTAAGGAGCTGACTTGGGGACAGAATTTGGGGAGTTTTTCACCTGGAGAATTTGACCTGGTACTTGGAGCTGATATCATATATTTAGAAGAGACATTCACAGACCTTCTTCGGACTCTGGAACATCTGTGTAGCAGCCACTCCGTGATCCTTTTAGCTTGCCGAATTCGTTACGAACGGGATAACAACTTCTTAGTGATGCTGGAGAGGCAATTTACAGTGAGTAAAGTTCACTATGATCCTGAAAAAGATGTCCACGTTTACAAAGCACAGAAGAGAAACCAGAGGGAGGGCTTATAGTTGGCTATAATTTATAGGAATCTTGTCATTAAACGTGTCCGTTAAGGTCTTCGCCTGGGAATCTAACCATATTGAATGAATTGGCGTACTGAACGAAAAGTCTACCCAAAACTTCTCAAGGGACAAAGCGAATGCGCAGTGTTAAAAACAAAGCAGCAACAGACTTTGCCCCGTTGCTGTGGCTTTTCAGTCATGTGTTCCTCACTCAGAAACGCAGGCAACAGACAAGGGAAGCGTGCAGCTCTGGTCCGCGCTGTGTCTGCAGGCCCACGCTGCCCTCTCTCCGCGAGCAGCTGTCTCGGACGGACGAAACGGTGAAGGGCTGGTGGTAAGGTGTCTTCAGAGCAGTGGGAGGGGCTGAATCACCCAAATCATTTTAAATACATTCCGAGATACACGTTCAGCTGTTTTCCCTCAACTTCTGAATATAAAACAGGAGGTTTCACATACATTCCCTGTGCTGTTAATGCTCTTGAAATCTTTTGTCTGCCCATTCAGGTCTTAAGTACTTCCGGTTGTTTGAGATTGGGATGTGAGTTTTCTGAGGTCTCATGTCGTGCATTTTGGCCTAATTTCAGTTTTAGGTATGTAAACAAAGGAATAAGTAAAAATAAAGTTTTAGTTACTTTTGAAAGCGTATAAAATCTTGGACCTCCATGTGCTGTGAATAGGTTACTATCTTCCAATCAAACGCCGTAGTTTTTCCCTTCACTTTCCCCTTTCTCAGATGTTTTTGTGATTCTTTCTTAGGCCTTCCCTGCCTCCTTGTAGTACACAGGATGACAATGAAATAAGTATCACACTTGGGAGAGGTTAGCTCCCCAAGTACAAGTTCCTTCCATATTGTACTTGTAGTTCCTTATTCAGTGTTTGGATTCCCCAGAAGACAAAGCTTCTTGAGGACCAGGAATGCCCCTGCCTCTTTCACTGTTGCCTCCCCAGTATCTAGTATATCAAACCAAATATTTGCTGAGTGATAAAGACACATTCCATTTAGAGGATATTGATCTTTGGGTTAAGTGATTGCTACATTGTTTCATGATTATCTCTAATAGTTTATGAAGTCACACACATCAACACAGTCGCCCCCCCCCCACCTTTTACAATGTACAAACTTAAACAACAGCTTAAACAAATTTAGACCACAAGAATATTATAACTTGAGTATGGTATTTGATATTAGAGATAGATTTCCTTTGCAAAACATCAGAAATAAGACCTCTTTCCTCTTAACCTTTGAATGAATATCTTGGATATGAAAATATTTTCTGCAATTATTTTAATAAAGGTGAATTAAAAGTCCTGAGCATTCTGTGAGGCACCAGTTTAACGCAGTTCTGATAAATGCACAAACACAAACACCCAGAACTTACCCAAACCACACAATGCCTGTACTGTGCATGAACATGGAAGGTCTTTTAAAACAATACATGCCCTGCAACATCATCAACACTAATGAAAGCCCAATCACATTTGGGTACCAGAAATAATTATATTAATCGGAGTTCAGCTCCTTTAGTTTGAAGCCTCTAGCTTTGGAGATAGGTACTACCATGACTTGGGGTGGGGTGAGATGGGGCTGGAGAGTTTCGAGGTGCCTGGATGTGCTACCAAGTGAGCAATGATTGGGTTGTCTTACATTTCCATAAAACATTAACTAAGAATACTGTTGCTAGAACAAATTGAAGGTTGTTTCCCGCCCCCCACCTTATCCCACTAGAAGAAAATAAAGGCAAGAAAAATTTAGCAGGAACAGTTTGGTTGTCTAAGTGAAAATCAAGTGACCTTTTGGCTTTGGGTTTACGAGGTTGTCACAGGTCAGCTTCCCTGGGGAAAAGACTCAGAGATGGAGGTAGGGTGCAGACATTTTAAATGGGACTGCTTTCGAGATCCATGTCTCTGAAAGAGTAAAAGTAGTAGAACTTGGAGAGTGGGAAAAATTGTTCTGAGACACAGGCAGGAAATCCCCAGTGAATTCAGAATGCAGGTGGGCCATATTAAAGCAAGGGGCGGGACTTTATATCCTTGTGTAGCTTAGTCATTGGATCCAAGGGGCATAACTTTGAGCTGAAGACGATACCAGGAGAGGGACTCAGCCGTCAGCCAGCACTCCTGGAAGCTGGGGAAATGAGTGCTTCAGAAGGCGTGTGTGTGGGAAGGCCGGGGTTGGAGGAATATACCTCTAGAGTATGCCAGAGTCTACCATAAGTATCAATCAACAAAGTTGTGACCTTTTTCACTTACGTTAAAGGGATTAATGTATCCCACAAATGTGCATTTTAAGTGTGTTTGTTGTATCCTCAAATTCAGGACAGAAACCTAGTCCACACTGATTGTTCTAAGCCTTGATTCTCACATTGCTGTTTCTTTGAACTGTTAGAGAGTTAAGTCATCCAGTGGGCATCGGTGACCTTCTTCCCGACTGAAATTAAATATGGCTGCCAAGGTGCTCTGCGCCAGAGCGTGTACGACATCGGGTTCTGAGAACCCCCGCTCTGACGCGTGCCGCTGTTATGTTCCAAGGTGATTACCTCCTAACAACCTCTTTAGTTCACGAAAGAACTACCCGGAGCCCTGGCAGCATCTTCATATAGCTTCTAGCAGAGCATTTATTCTGTTGTGAAGGGATCAGAATTCTAATAGATGAAAATACTGTATCCAAATTAACTGAACACTCAGTTGAGAACCCAGGGCAGAACAACAACATTGTCTGGAATGTTTTATCTTACCGAATACAGTTTATGCTCCCTGAAGACAAGAACTGCACCTCGTATTTTATACTCGTGTTAATTACGGTACCCTCTTCATAAAGGGAGTTCAAGAAACATTTACTCATGAAAAATAGATTCCTTTACAGATGAGTTATCTTATTAAATTGCCTAATTTCTGTGCTTTATTTTCCCTTGACCAAGGTAAGGGATAAGTACCTTATCAGGGTTATCAAATTATCAGGCTGCCAGTTTATGGTGTTTGAAAGGTAGAAGTATTTCCTGTCAATTTTTAAACCAAGAAAATAGTTTGGAAGTGCATTTGTTTATTTATCCTCACCTGAGGACATTTTTTTTCATTGCTTTTAGACAGAGGAAAAGAGACAGAGAGACAGAGACATCGGTATGAGAGAGAAACATTGGTCGGTTGTCTTCTTATATGCTTCCTGATTGGGGACCAAACCCGCAGCCTGGCTATGTGCCTGACTGGGACTCAAACCTACAACCTTTCTGGTATGTGGGACGACATTCCTAACTAACTGAGCCACACTGGCCAGGGCTTGCAGTCCTTTAAAAACCACTTTTTAAAAACATCCTTACCCGAGGATACATTTATTGATTTTAGAGAGAGAGGGAGAGAGAGAAACATCCATTAGCTGTCTCCTGTACCTGCCCCAACAGGGGACCAAACCCACAACCTAGGTGTGTACCCTGACCAGGGATGGAACTGGCGGCCCTTCTGGTGTATGGACAGCACTCCAGTCAGCCACGCCAGCCGGCCGGGGCAAAACCCACTTTTGAACATTATAGTATTGGTAAGCGGTCCTAGATATGGTCTGACATTAACACTCTGTGAAACAGGTATGTGATTTACTTTAGTGTCAGAGAAACAGTCATCATTCTGCTCCCCGGAACCTCCACCTAGACAGAAGTAGCACTTCATAAAGTTCTTTAACAAGAAGGAGACAAGACATGGCCGTGAGTAGAGTCCTGCTCTGGGAAACTGGAGGCTTGGATCCTCTGAGCACTGGCAGAAATTGCACAAAATCAGGGTGGTCCTCAGTTCTTTTTTTTTAATGTCATTTTAAAAAATAAGGATTTGTAAGCTCCAAAGTTTCAATCCACTGTTAAATTTTGTTATGCTTTTGTTTCTCAACTACCTGGGAAGGGTTAAAATGTAACACTAGAACAGACAGCATACTGAAAAATTGTCTCCTTGGTGAGGACTGTTTCTGAGGGAGATGAACAGGAAAACAGTATAACAGAGGTGGGAACAGGAAGGTCCACCCACGTCATAACCTCATGAAGCCTGGCTCTGCTACTTCTGACTTGACTTCCTCAAAAAAAACAAAAGCCAAAACAAACAAACAAACAAACAAACAAAACATCTCCACCAAAAAAACGCTTAAGTTTGACATAAAAGAAAACCAACATATTTTTATTGATTTAGCAGATTCTTAATATTTAAGAAACAACTTCCAAATATGAAAAAACCCATAGTTTTCACTTCTCATGTATGTAGCTCTACTAACATGTATATCTAACAGTCAAAGTTTTAAGCAACCTACATGTCCACAAAAGAGGTTACTGGTTATTTTATACAATGGGATACTACATACCTGTTAATAGACAGATATATGTACATATATATATATATATATATACTGAAATGGACCTATTGCTGACACATTCAGTGAAAAAAGCACCATTTATGTAAAAAGGGGGTGGGAGGAGAATCTCCATTACATTTGCATATTTACAGGGCGGGGCAAAAGTAGGTTTACAGTTGTGAATACATCAGTTTGCTCTTATATTGTTACTTATTACTGTATTATTTCCCATCCAAACTACTATAAACCTGCTTTTGCCCCACCCTGCATGTCGATTTGCACTGGAAGGATACACAAACTTTTTGGTGTTTGTGCATTTGTCTTTTAGTTTTTTCCAAATGTACATTATCACTTTAAAAACTGAGTTCAAATGAAGACATCATCACAAAAGTGGAAAGAAAACTTGGAGAACTGGAGGAAATATTTGCAAACCATTTTTATCTGGGAAAGGTCTAATATCCAGAATATATACAAAACACAAGAAACTGAACAAGAAAAAAAGTTAAAAATTAGCAGAGGACTGGAGCAGTCTTTTCTCCAAATGATACATGAATGACCAAATATTTGTACATGAATGTTCCTAGCAGCACTATTCACAATA